GTCCTCCAGGGTTCTGGTCACCATCACCCTGGACAACTTCCCCTGTATCTCCCTCCTTATTGGCTGGATAGAGCTATCTTCTGCTTGGTTGGTTCCCTGGTGTACGGACTATACTCTCCAACGATTTCTTAACAAAGTATACATGTGAGCTAAACTGGAGTTCTTCTATGCTTAGAAATGATTTTATTTCCTCATCTCTCATAAATAGTTTGCTAATAAGTAAATACCCATATTCTAAGAAGAAATCATTTTTTTCTTCCTTATCTTTTTTTTTTCCAGCATAAGCTTTAGAAGGAAGAGAAGAGTACGTTTCCCCACACTATTCAGTCCAGTAGAGTCCAGATTCTGGTGCTGTCACTCATAGTCTTCAGTGGCGACCTCAGGCTTTGTCACTGAGCACATTCACCAGGGCTCTGGTTACTTCATTGGCACTCATGATGTTAAGAGGCACATTCTTCTCCTGGGCAAGTGCATTGTGGACCAAGAGCTTGGGCAGCACCTTTGAACATTCACTGATTAGAATGGTAGGCACCTTCCTCAACTCTACAAATGCTTAATGAATTACTCATAGCTGGGCTGTCTAGCAAGCACTGGCATAAGTGGATGTGAATTGTAATAGTCCCAGCTTTGTACCAACCATCTTTGCAACCAACATGTTCGTTAGCCCAGAAATAATTATTCAGCTGCAGTGCTATTAAATAACCAAAGTCTTTTAGATTCATGTTCCTTAATATGCAACTTCTCTGAAGTGTTTTACCATCTTTACTCCTGAGGTACTGAAGCTTACAAAAATATCCATCAACAGTGGACCTTTCCCCACTCACTATGCTGGGTACTTGTTAGGCCCGACAAACTCAAGCAAGGATCAAACTTCTCCACATATATCCTTTCCATTAGAATTCCTGCTGTGAGCTCACTTCTCCTTTCAAGGCACTGGTGCTTCAGTCCCTGAGCCTTTCCAGAGTTCTGAGATCCACAGCAGCAGCACACTTCATGTCTGAGTTCTCCGTCTAGGTGCTTACTCTCACCCACATGAGACTGTTCTGTGATCAATTATCACTATGTTCTTGCACTTCTAGAACACCAATGTTATCTATGCCTACTTCTGTTTCCTCTTTTACCTTCTTGCTCTTCTGAGTTGTAACATTTAACTTCCTTAGAACTTTACTGTGTTTCCCATAAACATAGTCTAGATTTGTTCAATTCTGTCTTTGTACCAAGATTATTTACTCTGTAATATATTATTAATCAGTCATATAATAATCAGGTTGATTTGCTCCTAAAAGGTTTCTTTTCAAAGAAATGTTCACCTGAAGTTTCAGGAAGGCTGCATTTATAAGCAGATAAAACAGCATCTCAGAGTCCTACTGCTCACAGTTAAAGATGCAAGGTAACTAGAATTCAGAATTTGCAGGGATTTTGTAAGTTAAGCTTCCTCTTAACTTTTTGGAAATAAAAACAAAACTGTCTATTTTCTTCAATAACCCTGACAGAAATTCTCATTACTTCCAATTTACAGTTAAGAAAACTGATGATTGACAAAAGGTCAAACAGGTAGAAAAAAAGAAGAAAATCAAGATTAGGTATCTAAAGACATTACCAATAACTCTAATTGTATTTTATTTATCCTTTTGAGATAAGAGATTCCTGTACCCCAATTGGCTTCCTGTACCCCAATTGTAAATTGGGAACATGGGGAGGAGGGAGACAGGGAGGGGAACAGAGAAAAATGTAGAGCTCAATAACTATCATTAAAAAATGTATATAAAAAGCAAAAACAAACAAAAAAGAATTACTCAGGACACTGGACTTTTCCACATTTTCATTCAAGGTATAAATCATAAGGCATAAAGTAAAAGTTATCTAGGTCACTGGTAAAGAACATGATGAGCCTAACCTCACAGCAGGCTTCCTTTTCGATCTCATCATTTAACTTTTTCAGGATGGAAAGGGTCACATCATTTTTTTTCAACAGTCAAATTTCAAGCTGTACTGATGGAAAAAAGTCACAACACTCATAATTCTTATATCCAAGCAGCTAAAAACATAGTGGTGACAATGAAAACATGGAATACTGATTTATTTATAGTTGCACACCTTATACTATGTCTTCATTAGGGTTTCTATTGGTGAGATAAAACACAATGACCACTGGGCAGCACAGTAGAGCTGACCCTGTTGGTGGGGCAGTAGATGAGCCATTCCTGAAAGCCTGACAGTGAAAAAGTTGGCCCCACCCCTTTATGTGCCCTCAGGTGGAGAGAAAGGGGGAAAGATGCTCTCCCTCCTGTCCCTAGCCATCTGTGGCAGGTGAAGAGTGCACCCTGCCTCTCACCATTTGGAGCACTTGGGAAAGCAAGCCCTGCATTCTGCCTGGGCAGCATACGAGAGCTGATCCTGTTAGAGGGTGGGGCAGAAGGTGAATCATTCTGCATGAGCGATCTGGCCCCACCCTCAATCTGCCATGCCAAGGCCTGAGCAAGGGAGAGAAGCAACCCCATATGCCACCTGTGGCAGTAGGAGAACTGGCCCTCAGGTCACAACAGTGAGAGTGCCTGCTCTGACTCTTACCAGATGCAACACTCAGGAGAGTGGCCCCTGTACCTCGCCTGGGCAACACAGTAGAGCTGGCCAGAGGGCATGAGAACCAGCCCTGCCCCTTGCTGCTTACTGTATAAGGTGAGCTAACGGGGTGGTGCTGGAGAGCTCACTCTGGTGGTGAGGATGAGGGTAAGCTAGCAGGCTGACCAACCCAGTAATCACCCACGCCCAGAACCAGGGCTATGAGTTGGCTCATCCCAACATCCATCCCACCCATGATCTGCTAGAGCATGTTAAGGGGCCAGTCCTGCAGACCCAAAGCTGCAAAATCTTCAAGACACAGGGCAACAATAGGATGAGTCCCAATGAGAGCCCCCTGTCAATAGTGTAGCAGAAACCAGGGGCCTCAAGCCAGACTAAGATTCATTGCTATGAACACTTAAAGAAGTTAAAAACAAGTAAAGACATATGGATTAATGGGTTTAATGTGTGATTCAATGTGTCACGCAACAGCTTCCATGATAAGATTTTTCTTTCTTTTTTTCTTTTCTTTTTTATTTTATATTGGTGGGGGTTGCAAGGGCAGAGAGTAGATACGAAGAGATGGGGAGATGAATGAGATAGATATGTATGATGTGAAATCCACAAAGAATCAATAAAAATTAAAAAAATAAAACAACCCACAATGACCAAAAGAAAATCAGGGAGAACAGAGTTTATCTCAGCTTGTAGCCCATCATGAAGGGGAGTCAGGGCAGGAACTGAAGCAGATGTCATGGAGGAACACTACTTACTGGCTTGTTTCCCTATGCCCTGATCAACCTACTTTCTTACATACCAAGAACCACCTGCCCAGGGGTGGCATCAACTAGCACTCATTAATCACGAAGATGCCTCACAGACATGCTAGCAGGCCAATGAGGGGGACATATTCTCCCAATTGAGTTCTCTCCTCTGAGATATCCCTAGCTTGTATCAAGCTGATAAAAAAAAAAATTAAGCTGTACAGGTTAGCCAGTGCAGGATACTAGTCCAGTACTTTGCTAATACAATGCTAAAATAATCCTGTAAGATAATATTATTAGCCCATTTTACAGTGAAAAGATCATTCTCTGGAGTCACACGATCAGTATCCAAACTAAATTTTTAAGTTCCAAAGCTTTCTACCATATTTTTTTGAAACTCTAGTTGTATGGTATGAGCTTTCTTACACAACTAACTTCTTCCAAGGAGAGTATTTATCTACTATGAGTTGCTAAATAGGATACTAACCTATCTACTTCTTACTCTTGTATACCTTCCTGTCACATAACAGCCTGGAAATCCCCTAAGTCATATGCTGCCTTTTCATGCCAAAGATGTCCTTACGAGTAAGACGGCATTCTCAATGCTGTCATACACCCCTGGTGATCTAGGAAGGCCAAATTTATAAAAAACCACCTCCACAAGGAATCTCATGTATACAGTATGACACACGGCTCCCTGGAGCTCTTTTTCATGTAGAGCCTGCACACCCTGTTCTGCAGTCCCTCAAACATGCACACCAGTACCTGGGAAGCTGATTGTAAGCAATATCACTGTGGTGAACGTGGGACAGTGCAGAGAGTCCAGGAATCTGAATATTCAACTCCTAAGGCTGACCAACACTGGAGACACATCCATACACACGTGGATGGATGGGGGAACGTCGGGCACCCTTAACAATCAAGGAAACTTTAATGGCAGTATGATGACCACAACTTCCCCTGCTAAGTTGTTTTTCTTCACTTTCAGAGTTGTGAAGTTTGATACATTATCATCCCCACTAGAAGCCAGTGTTGTTGAGGCTAAGAGATTACTGTGCAGTCCTGCATCTAGTATGTGACACAAGTTGAGAGTCAAGCCTATCCAGCCCTTCTCCCAAGCCTGGACTCAAGTTCCTTCCACTCTGTACTATTACAGGGATAAGAGAACAAAGAAAGAGCCGCTCAGTTTCCTGCCACTGGAGAACCAAATCTGTGAGCACCTTTGCCCTCTGCCCTCTTCTCCCTTCAGAGTAGAGCATTCACACTTTAGCCTGCCCCTAGCTTCTGGCAACTCATCACTAAGTGGCAACATATCACGATTTAAAAATTAAACAGGCAAATATTGGATGGCTTATTAATGAACTTTACAGATTGAAACCTTTTCTTTACCAATCAGAAAATATGAAGAATATCATGGGGGAATGAAGCTGGTTCAATGAGTAAAAGCATTTGTCTGCTAACTTGAACTTGATTCCCTAGGGTCCAAGTTATAGAAGGAGAGAGAACCAACTCTCACAAACTGTCCTGGGACTTCCACATATGTAACATGCCACTCCCAAACACACACACACACACACACACACAATAAATTCTATAATTTTTTAAAAGACTAACATGTAAATCAATATAGAGCACTTTGAGATTAGATTGTTGTGGCCCAAGTTTCTAACTTACCTCTTACTTTTCTTGTAATTTTCCAGGTGTTGGGACTGTGCATGTTTGTGTCTTTCTAACTCACACTGCCCACACAAATCCTCCAGATGCAGCAGGTGGTTTTCTACCTCTTCAAAACTCGTCTCTAAATGAGCTGAAAGTATGACACAAAAAGAAACAACTGTCAAGTATAAATCACTGGCCAAAAAGACAAAATTTTAAATTGTTGTTGGAGAGATGGCTCAGTAGTTTTAAAAATACATGCAGCTCTTCCAGAGGACCCAACACACACATGAGGTAACTTGCAACTGCATGTAACTCCAACTCCAAGGGAAACAACTTCCTCTTCTGTCCTCCACAAGCATACTTAGACTAATATGTATACATACCACACACAGACACGGTTAAAAATAAAATAGAATGAACAGCATTTCTCTCTTTAAAAAAAAGCTTAAGCTATTGAAATTGCTTTGTATTTTTCTTGGTATTTCTTATTTAACTTTATTTAGGCAAAATTAAATTCACTAACAACATTACAGTATACTTTAATTAACAAGCATATTTCAAACATTTCTCAAGACATACAAGTTCAAAATGTCTTGAACATTTATTAAAATGATGAATATAAAGTATCCCAATTAATCTGATGTTACCTCCAGTGACCTATGTATACCACAAATGAACCAGGTTTTTTGTTTGTTTGAGACAGGATCTCATTGTGTCACTCTGACTGTCCTGGCACTCACAATGTAGATACAGAGATCTGCCCGCCTATGCCTCCTGAGCACTGGTACTAAAGGCGTGTGGCACTACACCCAGAAAATGAACCAGTTTTTAAAAAATGACAAGCTAGCCAATATAAATAGCATACATCATATCACTGTAATTTAGTATTTATAACTCCAAGTCATTTTAAGATCTGTTTGGCCTCTGGCACATCACAGACATAAACCTCTGCATGAAAACTACTACAAATACTTAGTAAGCCACTGTTACTGAGTCAGTCAATGGTTGGGGGCACTCAGTTCTCACTAGTTGACTAGTCTTTCACTAGTCTATCTGCAGATTACAAAACTCTATACTTTATTGGAACATAGAGAACATTTAGTCAAATCTTTCATTCAAAATATTGAAGACCACAGGCTAAAGAGATGGCTCAGAGATTAAGAGCACTGGTTGCTATTCCAGAAAAGCCAGGTTCAATTCCCAGCACCTGCATGGCAGCTCACAACTGTATGGAGTTCCAGTAATAGGGGATCTAAAACCTTCTGGCATCTTTCAATGCTGGATACACATGGCACAGACACACAATACAGGCAAAACACCCATGTGTATGTGTGCATATGTATACAGTATATACATATATATGTATATATATATATGATTATGGATATACACATACAATAAAAACAAAAATATTAATATCCCTTTGAAAACTATCCAAGATCAGAGTCTTGAGAAACTATCCCAAGTCCACCAAAAGGCAGAGAAACAGCTGTAATTCCAGTTGAGTCAGTGTTACATACAATTGGTCGGCTGAAAGAAAGCCAATGAACTCACTTCATTGCCATAGGCAGGAGAACTGCATGTTTTCTCTGACAACAGAAAGGTTTTAGAGGTCAAATATTTTTAGAACTCAAACAGCCTCATAGCTATATACTGAACATTACTTGCATATACAAGACACAAGGACACAGTATGAAAGACAGTCCTGATGCTCAAAGAGATGGCAGAAAGAAGCAGTAGCCTGAGAGGGTGAGGCATGAGGGGGACCAAGGGAGCAGCATCTAATTCCGGGGTGGGGGAAGTTCTATGAGGGACACTCTAGTAAGGACATGAGTAACCCCATATTTTTTAAGAAATATCAAGTCTAAGAACACAGCTTGGAGTATAATTCATAGGAATATGAGTTTGTGAGAGAAAAAATGAAATGTTAATGTCACTTTAACTGACTGACCTAATAAGATCAATTAATCTTGTTTACATTCTGATAATTACAGGTCAAGAAAATTACTCACTCTAAATGACTTTTAGTTGCTTTTTCTCAATGCTGCTGTGTCACGCTATTCCTGGGGAGACATGAACAAATGTCTACTTACCTCAGATAGGAAACCAATGACAGGCTAAAAGTAAGGGTACCATCAAAGTCCAACTTGGTGCACCAATGAGTTTTACTGGGGTTACTCATAGTACAGGTTGAGGGATTATTATCAGGAGCATAAATGTCTCGAAGACAGCTACATAATAAAAGCCCCATGGGTCGGAGTTCATAAAAGTTGGAACCCTGGGCACACTGCAGTTTAAAGGCAGCAGCAGGTTAGAGAGCATCACTTTCAGATAGCTTGTCTGGTTGTCCTAGGTAGCTCAGCTGGGTTCTCGTTCTCTCTCTCTCTCTCTCTCTCTCTCTCTCTCTCTCTCTCTCTCTCTCCCTCCCTCCCTCCCTTTCTTTCTCTCTCCCTTTCTTTCTCTCTCCCTTTCTTTCTTTCTTTCTTTCTTTCTTTCTTTCTTTCTTTCTTTCTTTCTTTCTTTTCTTAAGGTTTTTGAGACAGGGTAGCTTTGGAGCCTGTCCTGGAACTTACTCTTGAAGACCAAACTGGCCTTGAACTCACAGATCCACCTACCTCTGCCTCCCAAGTGCATTACCCACTTCCCAGGCACATTTTCTAATATCCTAAATTTGTCTCTTCTAAACATCTAAGTTTATATAAATATATGAATATAAAAAAATCCTTTTCTATTTGGCAGGGCCAAAGACCTATGGACATTAGTAGAAAACAAACTTTACTACAATGAGTAAATGTAATGACAAACCGCTTTGCAGTTCTGCTCAGAGACTTTAAAGTTCTGCCTGCCTTTTTTTTCTTCTCTTTTCTTTTTTTCTTTCTCTTTTTCTTTTCTTTTCTTTTTTTTTTTTTTAAGACAGGGTTTTTCTGTGTAGCTCTGGCTGTACTGGAACATTTTCTATAGACAAGGCTAGCCTCAAACTCAGAGATCTGCCTGCCTCCGCCTCCTAAGTGCTGGGATTAAAGGTGTGAGCCACCACGAGGAGTCCTGCCTTTATTCATGCTGATGTATTACTGGAGATCACAGGCAACTTTGAGAAAGGTTAATAATATCACTGTTAATAATAGTTTGGCTCTATCAAAGGCAATAGAAAGCCCCCAAAAACAAGCCTGAAAAATCTAAACTCTAAACACTGAATAATTATAGCTATGATTTTTTAAAATTATAAATGATGTACAAAGGGAAAGGCAAAATACTGTATTAATCATAATTTCCACTACTACTGCAAAAGAATATTCTTGGTGTCGCACAAAAAAACATATCAACAAGTGAAAGTAATCTTGCAGGGCAATTACCTTTTGTAAACAGTGTGTGCCATGACCTAAACTAGACTATCAAGCACACATCAGGATAGGAAGTTTTAGGTTTTTTTTTATATTTATTTATTATGTATACAATAGTCTATCTGTATGTATGTCTGCAGACCAGAAGAAGGCACCAGACCTCATTTCAGATGGTTGTGAGTCACCATGTGGTTGCTGGGAATTGAACTCAGAACCTCTGGAAGAGCAGGCAATGCTCTTAACCACTGAGCCATCTCTCCAGCCCCAGTTTCTTAGTTTTTAATCAAACGCTGGTGTTGACTCTTTCTCATCCCATTAGTAGAAGCTCCACCTCAATCTAATGCAATGAGATAATTCCTAATTAGCTTGAAAGAGGAGGTGATGAGAGTCAAGACTTAGGAAATTCCAGGAGGGGGAAACAAGCACATACACAGTTTTGCAAGATGAGGAAGTTCGCAGGATACTATGCTGTTGAACAATCTTAGAACACTGTAGATATGTATTACTTTCATTGTTAATAAAAAAAAAACTGAGTGAGACAGCCTGACACAGAGAATGCTGGGAAGCAGGGCAGAGTCTCAGGAGATGCCAGCAGATGCAGAGAGAAGCAAGATGGGCATGCTGTGCTGAGAAGAGGTACCAAGCCATATGGAAAAGCACAAATAAGAAATATGGGTTAGCATAAACATAAGAGTTAGCTAGTAACAAGCCTGAGCTACTGGCCATGAAATTATAATTAATATTAAGACTCTGAGTGGTTATTTGAGAATGGCTGCTGGCACAGGAAAACTCCACCTACAACACTGGCCCTTGGTTCTCCTTTCGATGGGAGAACAAAAATGTTTCTCACACTAGTTTTTATTTTATTAAACAGAAAAATGAGACTAGCAGACTCACCCTGGGAAGTGGTACAATAAGCACCTGAGAAGCAATATGTGCCTCATAAAGCATACAAAGAACAACAGAGCCAGAGTAATAAGATTCCACCTTGATTGGTAATAAGAACTAAACTACAATTAACATGAAATCCAGTTAACTCTAAGGATTTCAGCGTCGTGCACTGGTTCAGAGAGGACACTGAAATGCATGATTAAAAATCCAACTCTACTGTTATTCGTAAGCTTCAATGTGACAACTCAACTTTAGAGGGAGAAGTAAATGCACACAGCATCGAATCTGCCAAAAGGGTGAAGTCAACACAAATACTTAAACTTAGCATTTGATAGTAACTAAATATTCGCATGTAGAAAAAAATGTATAAGGGATTAGCTAAACTTTATCAGATGTCATTTACAGCTTCGCAAGCTGGACATGGAGATACATACCTATAACCCCAGTACTGGAGAGCCTAATGCAGAAAATGTGTTGAAAGTTTGAGGCCAGTGTAGGTTACATGGTTAATTCAAAGCATGTTTGAGCTACTTTGCCAAGATCCTATCTCAAAAACACCAAAAGTGCTGCCAAGCATATGAGCACATAACTGTAATCCCAGAACTTGAGAAGTGAGGAGGCTTAACTCTCTTTCTACAGATGACCTAGGTTTGGTTCCTAGCACCCACATGGTGGTAGTAGTACCTCCAACTCTAGGGGATCTGACACCCGCTTCTGGCCTCCATGGGCAGTAGGGACACATGTGGTGCACAAACATACATGCAGGCAAATATGCCCATACATATAAAATAAAAACAATAACAACCTTCTGAATAGACCAAAAAGCAACAAAACAGAAAATGCAGACAGAAGGTGCCTGGGGTAGTCAATGGTCACTGTTACTACCACCAAATCTTTATTTATGTTCTCCCCTTTG